CCATTATTTCGGGAAATATCGTAATGGGTAAATCCTCACGGGACACTCTGTATATTATTATATTATTGCTTATAAAGTAGTTTACTTCGCTATTATKACAGTATTAAAGCAGGGAGGTCAAATTTTGAATTTCCCAGTAGTTTTCAAAAGCCCCAGAAAAACAAAAAAAAAAAAAAATAAAGAAAAACAGGAATTTTTACACAAAATAAATTTTTGATAAAATTGAATTTTGATGTTGGCGTAACTCTAAAACAAATTTCCATACTCATGGAATTTTCACTGAATGTTTATACTTGCATTTTATATACTCAGTAGAATTTTCAAAATATTTCATATCTTTTTAAGTAATTTATAGATATTTGATACAAAATTTTATACAAGGCTCCTAATATACAGTTGCAATGAAAGTTAAAAAATACTACAAATAGTCATGATTTTTTTTATAAGCATTTAATGTTCGAATTTTGACAAATACGTAAAAATTACAAAAATGTATTTTAAGTTAGAAATTCATAAAAGCTTTAATTTTAAATTTAAGTTTTGAAAATTCAATACAAGATTATTTATGAGTTAATCTACGTTTATCAAATATAAAATGTCTACCGGCAAGTCAAATTAAATTTTTATGAGCATTCGAATTACAGCATTGGATATTCACTCAATTTATCTTTACCGATATTCTTATTTTTTTGCTATTCAAAAACCAATAACTGTAGAAACTTGAAATTTACACTAAATATTTACTTTATCCATTTTTATACTTGGTAAAATTTTCAAAATATTTCAACAATTTTTAATTTATTTATAGACATTTTTAATTTTTCGTTTTTTATTCTATAAGTGTCAGTAAAATTTTATTCATTGGATCCAAAAATTTGAAAATTTACTCCAAGGTTCCCCATGAGCTTATATAACAGAAATTGGAAAATATAAAGAATATATATGCACGTTTGTTTCTATAACTTTTAGATTCTGAGCGGAGCGAGGAATGTATTGATTTTACAATGATGTGGTGTGTGTGTGTTTTTTTTTGTCAGTCATTTTTTGGGGGCAGTAAAAACACTTCGATTTTCAACTTTAGTACCTCGTTCGATCAGAAAGTAAATCTAGTTGGTACTTTGGGGGGTCAAAAGTAAAAAATTCTCAATATTTTAGTTAATTTTTACGCACAATCAATTTTCGACGAAATTGGTTTTTGAAGTAATAACAAGTTACTTTAAAACCTATGACCATCGATACATCAAATATTTATATAAGTATTTTCTATCCACCAGAAAATTTTCAAAATATTTCAACTTAAGCTGAACTATTTTTAGTCATATGCAATTTTCGATTATTATTAGTTTTTATTTAAATTAATATCGATAAAAATTTATTTGTATGGTAGAAACATAGGCGTGCGGACAGGGGCAGCAAGGTGTGCTCTTGCTGCCCCTGGACGGTTTGAATATATTTGTCTGGGCCGAACTATATAATAATAACATAACATAATAATATAACCGTATTATAATAATAAAGAATAATGTGTTATTGATATTTGATGTATTTTTAATTTTGATATGGTAACCGGTGTTGAGCAAAAA